GGCAGTTCTAGTACTCTTGTTTACATAAAATCGATGGTGGTAGGGAGGGGCGGCACCGATCTCAATTTCCATGCCATCACGGCCAGGAGTGCCCTATTTTTACACGCAGATCGACAGCAACTGTGTGAAGCAAACATCGCTTATGTTCTGTTGTTTCCTAACCTCTAACTTAGAGAGTGATATTCATATGCCAACCTCAGAGGGAAGAAACACGAGAAACCCAAACCGGTGCTCGAACGCAGGACACCCCGGTTCTGAGTCAGACATTCTTCCGACCCAATAACCCCGGTCCTGAAGCAACCAGAGGTGAGTTCCTTGTTAGAGGCAACTCGCAGTTAAGCGAAAGATTGCTCCTCGACCGAAATCGGTATTCGCTGGACATGGTTATATGGTTATTGATCGCCGGCCACCGACTGATGATTCAGGCATGACAGGCTGTCTAAAAACCGTTTAGCTTTGATCGGCGATGCTTGGCTACAACGCTAATGGCTACATGTTTTTAGGTAGAAATCAGCGAGAACGAAAAACCGCCTTGTTGCACGTTCGTTGCACAGGTAGACGAGCAGAATAGAGCAGCGACAGAGAATATTCACCTCGCCGCAATAACTCAGTGTTAGTGAGCCTGTCAGACTCCAATCTATCTTCAGCACTGTCTCACCTCTGCCGAGTCTAACGTGTGCATAAACAGCAGTTTTTATAGATTTTCAAACCGATTAAAAATAGTCACCTCAAATCGATCAAGCATTATGCATGTTTCAGAACATTTACCTCCCGGCTGTTTTTTTAATACATAAGTTCAACGTCAGAGGGCCACGCACAGCAACACGGATAAACAGAACCACGAGAGTTGCAGTACGTTTACGGTCTATCTGATCGAGGGCAATTTTAATTTTTGAATCGCATCTGTCAGCTTAATTTCATCGCATCGTCATTTATAGTTATAGTAATAACGGCTAGTTCACAGATTAGAAGATGAACAAATATGTCGTCGTCATATTACTGCTGCCTGCTAGTTGAGCCTCGCATGTCAGCACTGTCTGATGAGACGGAATTTTAGCCAAGCTTCTTATTTATATTTATAGTATCTTTATTCCATTGATGGCATTCGCATTTGCACAACGTTACGTCAAACCGATCTTTCCATCGCCGATGACAGACGATCGCCGGAAATAGCTCCGGAAAGATGGCAAATTCTTTCAATAAGTGCCAGGGCGTCGAAAGGGTTGAAGAGCGATCACAGACTTATTTCATTTGGCCGAAAGCCTATGCGCTGCAACGGGATCAGAGCAAGAGGACAACGAGAAACAGATTTCAATCTATGCCAAAGGATCGGTTGAAAATGGATGGAATAAGCTGCCCTCTTTTGATGCAACCGCATGATCGTCATAAAGAGGGAAAACTGCTCTTCTCATCAGCTTCGTTTGGTACGTCTGCTGATGCACATGGAGGGGGACAGTTTCGCAATCAGCGAATATTTTTGATTGCTGAATGCAACTCAGCTAGTCGTCATCGTCTTTACTGCCGTCGTAACCTTCAAGTCTTTTTAGCACTGAAAATGGTTTGCGTGTGACTGTAACACTCACTGAACGCTTTTTCAGGACAGGGCAGAGAATGCTGCTCAGCTTGTAGTCAAACTTTTACGTTTTAAATAGGAATCGATTCGTATATGCCTTTTGAATAGTTTCTAACTCATCTAGCAAACACAACAGAGGAAGCCTTGTCCGGTCACCTACTAATGTTTCAACCAACAAGTGAACTCTGACCCTGAAACAGAAGCGTGTGATTGCATCGCACCATTTAAGCCTACTCTACATAAGCAAAACAATCGAAAATTATCATACCCAGAAATTGCCTTTTTTACCCTTGATACATGGTCACAATTTGTGCCTAGCATATTGTAAACTCTACTATGAGGTGAAATCGACCGATCAGTATGCTTCCGCCTCGCTTAAAGTCTTATGGACAGTTGCCTCGTTTACCCTTACGGTTTGCAATCCCAATGCTCAGTTCTTTAGGTTGAGGTTCAGGCTACAAATGCAGCGATATCTCTGGTTTCACACATCTAAGCTATCAAAAGAGCATTAGGAAAGACTCAAGCAGTAACTATCGGAATACCGTGGAAAAGTCCATTAGTTCCATCTAGAAATTATACCTCTCTATACGTCAGCTTCTAAGTGTCGTTCGTTGCACCTTCCGCTCCCCTGACTCGTCACGTGCGAATCGGTGCAAACAAGTTGGCACAACTTTCGAACCTAATTTGTATTGTTTTCAAGCAGTTTCAATAGGCGGCGTGTTCACTAAAAAGTCGACCGAAAAACGGCGACTGCCACTTGCTGCTCTCGTTCTGGTTACGATGTTGCGAAAGGGGCCTTGGGCAGTCGAGACTGAGTTTCAGTGCACCGACCACGTCGTGGACGGACGGATGGCAGCGTGAACGGAGGATGCGCGGTGAACCTCGCCGAGTACCACGCGTTGCAGTTTTTACCCACCAACGCGGATGTTTAACGAGGCTCGTTCTGAGGTCAGACGACCAGCTGTCTTTGCTGATGGGGCAGGGCACTCCTCTTTGACGGGGCGATCGTTGTGAACCCTGCCGACGATGCACGACGCCGCCAGAGTGAGGTAGTGAGTGAGTGACTGCCATCGGCCGGCTGTCCGTTTCGTTCGTCCACCCAGTGATGCGTTCGTCACGATACGACGGCATATGCGCCACTCGACAGACAGCAATCGTCCGGCCGCACGTCTATATGCCTCGCCAGTTGTGCATCCTCTGTTTGCCTCCTCCCTTCTGTTGTGACGTCGTCGCATAGCTCAGCTGTTGCTGTTGCTACTCTCGATCAGGAGTAGCGGCGGCGAATCGTCTCCCGGTTGACTGGTCAGTCAATGCAATAGGGTCGCATCAGTTGATGACTGCCTACCGGCGCTCACCCTCGCCGGGTTGTCTGTTTCTGCCTTTGAGGCCGTTCGTTCGCGCTTTTCCCTTCTTCCATTTGTGAACGACGCAGGGCCACTGCCGCCATTTCACTTGTAATCGGTAAGAAAACTTTGTCGCCTTCCCTACGTTGAAGGTCGGCCCCTTTATCTCTCCTCAAAAATACCTCCACATCTACGGAGGCTGACAGTGGTTTGCACTGAAGTGCAAGGTAGCTGCCACTTTCGCGTTAAATATTTGAGTTCACTTCTCTTCTACTCAAGACTGTTGGGAACAGGTGCCTTCTGTCTAGTGTTTGCTTCCTTTTTGATAACCTTTAGAACATGATGGGAGCCGTAATTTAATCATTTCTATAAGGCCAGTCAATTCTGAACAGCGTCAACGTTCCTTGAACCCTGAGAAAATGAAGCGACCCTAAGCCATCGCCAATCCCACCGGCATCATACGCATACTTCACCTCGTTCTGTCATTTGCTCCTCCTCTCGAAATGAACAGCTGGACCGTGACAGTGACGGTGATGGTCAACAGCGCACAGATGTATCTTCATCCTTGATTCACCAGCGACCAGTTGGCTACTCATTGAGTGAAACCAACTTGACGGCAAGTGCTACTTCAAGGCGGCAAATCTGAAAACACGCGGGCAGCGAGGTTGTCCTTTTGTTCTGAGAACTCAAAACCCATATCGCTGAGTTTCCTCGGTAGACTCCTCTTTTTCTAAGTCTGCAGCACTTTCGAGAAGAGACAGAAAGAAGCAAATTGTGATCATATTTACATCTACGAACAAGTACGATAGCTCTCTTTTCTTCCATCCGAACTCTTAGTCAAATTATTTTTTTCTTTAAGAAAGACATTGACAGTACGTCAGCCTCAGGTCTCGATTTACATCCTGGTTCACGAGAAACATTTGGTGTTATACGTAGATGCCTATTAATATTTAAATGCATTGTCTTCAACCTGATCAAAGAACTCCTGGCATGTACTTTGCTAATCAAACATGGTCGAGGGTAAACCGAATTCTAACTGGACAAGAGGGCGGAGAATACCTCACTGGAAGATGAGGTCCAATCCGCAATGTACGGCGGTCATCAGCGTCATACCGTGCAGCACATTAATTTTGAATTCCCGTGCGAAGGTTCAGCGGTAGCGTAATCGATGCCCAGAATGCGTCCGCGGCTATTATTTCGTTACCTCGAAATCTGCTGAGTGAACTTTAAAGTTGTTAGTCACCTCACCCCGTCAATGCGACAAGAAATAAGTATTGTTCTACTACTTCGAGCACTACTCAAGGTGTTTCATGAAGAGTTACTGAAAACACTGAATTCAATCATGCACTACGCTTACTCAGCTGTCTGTGTCAGGTTAAATTTATAGATGGATTTTTTGACCATTTATTTATTCCTCAAAGCTAGCTATTATTTGTGTTAGCATGCGATAGCTGAAACAAAAATTTGCTATCCTCCATATTTTCGTTGTCTGCCATGAGGTAGTAAGACTAGCCCTCCGTCCATTACCCTCCCCATGTGCACACGTGTCAGAAGCCTGACGGATCATTTATCAACGAAGGACATAATGCAACATGTGCTCTGCACTCGACCTGTCAAACTTTGAATGCTCTTAATGCAATGGACAATTCGACAGACAACATCTGATCTCTCGCCAAAGCAGTCTATCACTGAACCACGTTTCATATCACCAGCATCTCGGTCAGCTGCAGACCATCGCCGGTGACATCGCACCCTCCCTGTGCAGCAACATGGCTACATGCCATTGACAGAAGGTGCCAAATTTCCTCCTCTCAGCACCATGTCACGATGCCGCGAAGAATACACTGGAAATAAATCATAATTTCTTTCGATGTTCATGCATAATCAGTGCTGGCAAAGTAAAACTAGAATTTTATGTTTAATAATTTAAGATGAAGTTACATCTTTTGAGTTACACCTTGAGCTGATCATCACGTTGAAAAGTTAGCTATCAGGTGGGTGAAGACGAAGCGCAGCCACAAGAAGCATTCGTATCATACTGTGTGGCCTGGCATCTCGTCCATTCTGGTATGACCACATCCGAACAAACCCCTTGCTGTCTCCGTCATTCGCAAGATCCCGACGAGCTATTCTTTTGTCACGTGGTTGTACCAAAGCATATTCATTGTGCAAGAAGCTGAATTATTCATATTAGCGGCTAGGCTAAATCTTTCATATTCTTTGGACTCGAACCCGCCTTCTCCTCGGTTCTAAATCGACCTCTTTATGCTATCCCCTCCAAGAAGTATGAAAGCTTCGACACACAAGTTTCTGCCGACTAGTTTATATTGGATTCCGTTTCCTGCTAGTTGTAATTTCAAAATGAACATCTTTTCTACGCTAAACCAGAGGAAATTATTCGTTATCATATAATATTAGAGGTCTAAGATGTTCGAGCATTATAACTCTTTCTCAGTCCTGCACATCGTTTCAGTGTCATTCTTTCGATGAAACTGGCAATGTTGCAAATCACATTCCTCAATGTTACTCGCAGGACACTCAAAAGTCACTGCGGACAATGAACCTTTACATATTAGCTTATGAACTACGGCTTCGGTACTAATAATAGATCTAACGTAGCTGATGTTTGTGCTAATAATTTACAGCAGTCAAAAATATCCATTATTGATCACGGGAGGACTAACGTATTGGACTAACTCTTAATACGACGAGAGTACGCTCATATTTTAGTTGTTTTAAAAAATTGGTGCCTTGGTGTTCAATCTCATTCCAAATCAGACAACTTATGCTAAAGCCGTTGAAAGTTGGTGATCGAACAAAAAGTATAGCAAACAAATAATATTCATGTTTTGTTTGGCCAATATTGATCATATAGCATAATTCTTTATGTTGACTTTTGCCGTTGTTACGGCTGTCACCGTTACTGGTTTAACCGGTTACAGTGATGTCCCGGGCAACTGCTTTCCATGTCTATCAATCATGCTCAATGTCTGCCACCAAGTTCAGCCAGTCTTTCGCCCACAGTTTGTGCCCGTGCGCCGTCGGCTCGAAGAGAACGTCAGCGTCAGCGCTGACACTTGGCCGCATCGTTTTCGGTGCCATCCGGGGACCGGTGTGACGTTCAGTGTAAAGGAGGTTATTTCTTCCAGTGGGCGTCTCAGCACATGGCTTAGCCGTCGAGGCACCGCTTTTACATGGCGGTAAAGAGATGGGTGGCGCTCTAGCAGACACGGATTGTGACGGTGGACGCATTGTCGATGATTCGTGCCTGGTGGATGATTGGTAATCACCGATGATCGAAAGGTTCTTGCTTCTACGTGTCTTCAACGCTTAGAGTCCAGCTGTCACTTCCACGATGGCGGCATGCACAACTTGGCTTGACATCTCATTTTCAGACTGATCTACCATTGTCGCCACAATGGTTTCTAGAGCTGAAGAAAAGCCCCCCCTCCACCCTACAGTTGTTTCTCAATCTGTAGCGTGATCTGATCTTCAGACTTTCTCTTTGGAAAGTCGGTGAAGGGAAGGTTCCCCAGGACGGCTACATCTTCATGGTTTATGTGGATAAACAAACAATGCGTTCTAATCGTAGACAGGACGAACGCATTGTTTTAACATACGTTCGAAATGTATGCTGCAGTCTATTCGTTTCGTTCTTACGTACAGAAAATTAGGATATCGCGTAACTGTGTCTCTGCATGACCGAATAGACACCCCTTTAGTGCCCTGTAGAGGCACACAGCTCTAACGCTGCCCAACAAGATACGGCATGCGGCAATGACAACCATATGTTCTTCTTGGTACAAGCATGAGCTGACCGAATTAAGCAAGCCATAGCAATCCAACGAAGGTAAACCATTTTCTGCTGTGTGCTGCAGCTCCATCGTTTTCGAAGCTTTCTAGCTTTGAAGCTATTTCAGCCGTTCGGCGAATAGAAATCGTTCGATATCCCTAAAGTGCTAGTTGATGGGATCTGCTCTTGCATCAAGCCGCTAGAGGAAAATTCATGGCGCACCTGAAGCTCAGACTAAGACAGTAAAGACTAGTTTTATCACAAGTACAACCATCTAACTTAATCCACGTTATGATCTCACCCAGCAGAAACGAATGCAACCTTAAAGAGGCGTTTAACATTGAATTCCGTCTGGTGATAATAGACCACGATGCATATGCAGAGACTGCCAACAGAGGAGATGGATATCCAGAAATAGTGGCGATCATTGATCGGACGTAATGACTTAGATTTCCGCTTAGTAAATGCCATGTTCATAAGATTTCGTTTTTCATCTCTCGCGATTTCCTAGAAAACACATGCTGCCGGGATTCTAGTACAAGAATTCTTTGTCAACAGGACAACTACTGTTACAACACACGCTCATATTTTCACAAGACCATCTTTCGATGTGCTGAACGAATTTCTGGTAAAACGACGGTTAAAGCAGTGAAGATGTCGCCGCGCATTAACCTTCCAAATCTGAGATTCACAGGAGCAAAGGACTGATTTTTGCTTACCTACTGAAAAACGCTACAGTCATCAGGAGATGAGCAAGGCAGCGTTTTGCTAAAGGTGACGTGTCAACGAAGATTACTTAAGTACTCACCGAGACAGGAGTCATTTTGCTAAAAACAGTCATCACTGTCTACTTCACCATTTACCATATTCTGAAAGACCATTATGTTGGGAGTTGCAAATTCTGCGAAAGAATTTCATCATGGAAATCTCTAGGTCAAGACGTCGTAATGACGAAGAAGAGGACAAATGTTGCCTCGACTGCAAACAATCCTCTT